TGTTATCCGGAGTTCTTCTTAAATTTGCCTCTAGAGACCCCCCTAATTGGGTCCCCCTTCCACCCCAGGCTCCTCTAGCAGTGGAGTGTGCTGCTATGACTATTGTTACATCACTGTTCCTGATGCCCTCTATGGAGGCACAGAGAGCATTCAGGATCGGACAAATGTTCTCACCCTTTCCAACGCAATCTAAATAAAAATGTCTGCAGCTTGGCTTTAACTAGACTTCTGAACACATCATAAGATACACAAATGCTCTTTAAACAATATTCTCATTCACATTACTCTATATTAAAAAGTAAAAAGATACCTAACCTGTCACCAGGGGGGTAAAGAAGAGAACAAGGAACAGGAAATATCTTGTCATTGTGACAACGCGTCCAGGAGCTTCTGCCCTCTCATCACATCAACTCCCCCAGGCTGTGGGTTTTATGTGGGGAGTGGCACTTGTGCAGAAACCTCAGACATAAGAAGAATTATATTAATTCTCTTATGAGACTTTCCTGGCACGGGTTCCTTGGACACTGACAGTATTAAAAACGTATAATTAACTTAAGGCTGAACTCCATGCAAACAGCTAAATACACAGAAGAAACAAAATAACCCCATCTAGCAGGGAATAAAACCTAATTTGCTCTGCTGCAGTTCAGTACCAGTTACAGGTTTTGTCCCTTCCCTAGCCTGTAATTGTATAGTGAAAGGAGAAGCAGCAGACTGATGAGCTTACCTGTCTGTCACTCTGCTCTCGCCTCCCATCAGCATATTCTTTATACTGCAGCACAACTGATTGGCACCTTGTGCTGCTTGTCTTTTCCCTCATCTAAATGCAGTTATATGGGTACTGAAAAAGGATGACACCAGGTCAACTGCAGGTACTTACACTGCTCACATGTAAGAAAGATACATTTAACAATATATTAATGAATAGAGAGCTGCATTGTTTTGTGTATTTTATTTCTTCTTGGAGTTCAGCTTTATCTATAGCATAAGACTACTTTGTTATATGAGAAATGCATCTTCAATTCAATTAGACAAATCACAGACATACATAGAGACACACAGAGATACATAGAGATACATAGAGACACACTGAGATACATAGAGATACACAAAGATACATAGAGGCACGCAGAGATACATAGAGATACATAGAGATACACAGAGATACATAGAGATACACAGAGATACATAGACATACATATAGACCTACAGAGATACATAGAGATACACATAGATACATAGAGATACATATAGACACACAGAGATACATAGAGATACACAGAGATACATAGAGATGCATAGAGATACACATAGATACATAGAGATACATAGAGACACACAGAGATACATAGAGACATACAGAGATACATAGAGATACACAGAGATACATAGAGATACATAGAGATATGTAGAGAAGCATAGAGATACACAGAGATACATACAGAGATACACAGAGATATGTAGAGATGCATAGCGATA